ATTAATATGATCACAACATTAATGTGGTCACAACATTAATGTGGTCACAACATCAATGTGGTCACAACATCAATGTGGTCACGACATTAATGTGATCACAACATGAATGTGGTCACAACATCAATGTGGTCACGACATCAATACAATGACCTCACATGAAATCAATATCATGTGGTCACATAGTATCAACATAGTTTGGTCCCATGATGATATAAACCTGTCACATAATATCAACATAATGCAGTCACGTGATATGGTCACATGATAATGATATCTTATATTCAAGAACACACAAATGTAATGGTTTTGGTAGTAAAAGTTGAACTGAAAAAGCTGGTATGAAATAGGAATTAAAAAACAACACTGAGTATATTAAACTGCAATGCATATATTAAATATAAATAAAGAAATACAAAGTTTGGTTGTAAAGAGATAAATTAAGTGTCAAATATATGGAATATTTAATAACTTAAGCTGACAATGTACATGCTTGTTCTGCACTAATTTGGCTTCTCAAAATCTGAATATTTAAACTATCCACCACCAGTTCCCTTCTTTTTATCAGAAATTTACAAAATAGTCTCATTTATAGTCTGCACTTTCCTTCAGAAAATTGGCACAAAAATAGCAAAATTTTTTGAATGAAAACTGAATTATGATCTGATCTTTAAATGTAGGGCATTAGACCAGCAAGTCAAAATTCTGTTAAAAAACTGTTATTGTACAAATTAAATGGCGCAGACATATCTCTGCGCTATCACACAAATATGTCATATTATTATTATTATCATCTTTTGATAGGAATGATGTCTATTTGGTCAAAGATGATAGCATTGCAATTATTAACAAAAGATTGAATGCATAAAAAGTTATGCGATGATCACATCAACTAACCAACCAGTCATCAAACATGGCGACGAAAAATAATCTGCAAAATATTGCATTATCACAAACAAAATCCAAGTTATTTCTGTTTATGTTACACCCTGTTGGGTTGTTCTACATCATTGAAATATGTATTATGTTTTGCAAAGAGCACATCAATGCAGCAAATCATGCCATTAGGGATGTACTGTGAAGGAGGGTTGGAAATTGTTTCTGATCTCAAAATACACTATACAAATGATCTCGTTCATGATATATATTTTTTTTATCTGTAGATCGTGTGATTTTATGCATCACATCACTAAAACGAGACAAATAAAATCCATTGTGAAAAAAACATTCCATAAAGACTGTTTTTAAAAAACAATCCAAGCCAAGTTGTGAATGTTATGTTATCTGTACTGTCCAATCAAAATATTATTATAATTTATTTCCATAGAAACATTGGAGATTACAAGTTTTGTGTTGTCGACCGCTCACGTTCTAAATCAACACCTAGTAAGCAGAGATAATAATGTTCCACGAATGAGTATATTCTTTGAAACAAAGTCCCAAAGAAATTCATTTGAGAAATCAAAATAAACACAAAAACTTGGCTTGTAAAAATGTAAAATGTAAAAATAATATTATTTCCTTCTTTCAGCTAGGTAAAATACTTGTGCTGTAAAAGCCATAAGAATAGTCATCTTTAACTTGTAGTACGATGTTACCCGTAATCTAGGCATTATATTCACATTTCTCACTCAGGTGTCCACGTTTCTCGGTGAACTGGGCACACTGAGAAACATTACTTTATAAATTCATGCATTTAATATTCAAGTACACCCCATTGATGACGATTGTATTTCTAAGTGTTGAATTTGTTTTTCCTCAGCTGAACGAATAAAATATTAGGGTATAATATAAATAAATAAGATTTTTTACATCAGAGAAATGAAATTCTATTTAACAATTGATTCCATCTCTTTGTAGACATTTTCACACTTGATACAAACTCATGATTACAGAACTCACATGATTTTACATTCATCATCTTTAAATATTCCAGTTTCGCAGACTATAAAATTCATTCACAAAAAAGTCATAATTATCATTAGTGACAAATATTTTCAAAAATTCATCCATTTTCAATTACTCAAAGTAAAAGATTACTGGTAGCAAATCTGAGAGTTGCTGTAAATTCCTGTCCAGAAAGTACCAGGATGTAAAAGTACCAAGATGTAGAAGTACCAGGATGTATGACCTTTGGTGCTAAAAATAAGTTAATTGACTACATTGTGTATGTGACTGAAATCAAATATTAGTATTTTTATAAAGTACCAGACTATGAAAAATACTGAAGTCAGCCTCTTTAAGTAAGATGACATATGTACATCATTTCATAAAAAAGTCCAGGAAAATGTACAAATAACTTACCACCAAACATTTCTTAAAATGCATTTAAAAATGGTTTGTTTATATATTAAAACACTATTCTGTAAGTACATTTATAGACAAATTATGAATCTATTCTTGTTTTTCTATGTCACTCTAGCAGGGGACGGAAGGTGTATCTTTTGCCCCAAAAATGACTGGGGCTTACCTCTTGTCCCACCCATGACTGGGGCTTATCTCTTGTCCCACCCATGACTGGGGCTTATCTCTTGTCCCACCCATGACTGGGGCTTATCTCTTGTCCCATCCATGACTGGGGCTTACCTCTTGTCCCACCCATGACTGGGGATTATCTCTTGTCCCACCCATGACTGGGGCATACCTCTTGTCCCACCCATGACTGGGGCTTACCTCTTGTCCCACCCATGACTGGGGCTTCCTCAAATCCTACCCAAGACAGGGAATTGCCTTTTGTCCCACCCAAGACTGGGTGATACTGTCCCACACAAAACTTAGGGTTACCTCTGACCCACTAAAGACAGGGGGTTATCTGTGGAGTGACATGTTAACAACATTAAACAGTGAAAATAACTTAAAGTGAAAACAACAAAAGTTAAGAAAACAACATGGGTTACAGTGAAAACAACATTGTATAAAGACAAATTTGTATCACTGTTATAAATAAAATGAAGATGAAAAATTTGACTGCCCCTGAGTTCCCTCTCTTCATAATTCTCATACGACCTAAAATTCTGAAAATAAACAACATATTTTATAAATGTTAGACATATGGTATGAGGATATTGAAGCAGCAAGTCTCTAAACATGGTGGAAAAGTAGACACACAGCACTTCAGTTTGTGAGTAATTGGACACTGAGCCAACCAAGCACCTCAGTCTGTGAGTGAGTGGATACTGAGCCAACACAGCACCTCAGTCTGTGAGTGAGTGGATACTGAGCCAACACAGCACCG